GTGTGGACCGTGGAGTACATGGCAGTATGTGAACCTTTCACTTCACGGTGCTGAGTTTGCATCACACCTGAATGATCTGAGAAGGAATTGTCAGGTGATGTTTGCAGCATTCCTGCGGGCCTCCCGAGCCGTTAGGCGAGGAGGGGGCAGGGTTGCATTTGAGTGGCCTAGACACTGCCTTGGATGGAAGCAACCGTTCATGCAGAGGTTCCTTGCTGATCCTGATGTCGAGACCGTTGATTTTGACGGGTGTGATTTCGGAATGCAGGACAAGGACGGTGTGCCGATCAGGAAGCAGTGGAAGGTTGCGACGACCTCCAATGATGAACTCTCGGGTCGAAAATGCAAGCGCGAGAAGGGTTACCTTCATGCACGCATTGAGGGATCGGTGACCCCGACGACTGCTCTCTATCCAAGTGCAATGTGTGAGGCAATCGTTGGAGCCTGGTATCCAAACGGCACGTTCAAGAAGGTCGCGAGTGCTATGCCGGTCGAGGTTGATCCGGTTGAGCAGCGATGGAAGAAGAAGCCTAATACCTTGTACGTCAGTCTTGATAGCGAAAATGCCAAGATCCCGACGCGGGCTACGTCGGGGAGTGCTGGCTTGGACACCTATGCCTCTGAGGGCGTGTGTATTCCCGCAGGGGGGTCAGGTTTGGTTAGCGCCGGGATCTCGATAGAGATGCCCGCGGGGGTATATGCTAGGATAGCTCCCAGATCAGGACTTGCTGTGAAGAACAGGATCGCTGTAGCCGGCGGAACACAGGTCGAATAGGGGGTTCATCGTCCCGCATGTCCTGGCAAGGGAGGCTGGTGAGCCTTTCATCTATGCAGTGATCCGGAACAAGGCGATCGCTCGGGAGCGGGTTACCGCCGAGGAGTGGAAGAAGGCAAGCGAGACTGCCCACATCGTATTTCCTAATCGCGATAGCGAGTGGAACGCCGTGTTGGAGCGGGCTGTGCACAACGACTTCATGTATGCGGCTCTAGATGCTTCCCGAGCCGCTGGGAGGATTGATCAAGAGTACATCAGCCCTCGAGACCGGAAATCTGCGCCATGGGCTGATCAGCAGTGGAACATGAAGAAGTTGGCGACTGAGGCTGCCAACATCCCGTTAGGGATGAGGCAGGACATTCAGGCGAAGTACCACCATGGACGAGCGCCCCCGGGAGATTGGGCAGATATGCCTGATCGGGATGATTATATGGTTCGTGGTGTTGTTAGTGACCCGAACCGCAGGGCGTATGATTGTCTCCGAGCACCAGGAGTGAGGGCAACCTTGCTGAACGCGCAAACGGGTTAATGCATCCCTTTGGATGATCCGACCTGGGTGCCGGAGGTGGCATCTTCGCATCTGCTGGTGGGGACGATCACCACAATCGCATCGCACGTGGACTGTGCCCTTGGGCGCGCATGGCGTATGCCTATGTTCCATCCTCAGCTGATGGCGGCAACGGCGATGAGAAGTTGCAGAAGTACTTCAACGCGCTGAACGAAGCAGTACTAGGCAAGCGGTTGGGTACCGCGCCTTTCAGCATGATAGCCGGTCACCTTGCTCCGGAGTTGCGGACTATCCCGACGAGGGAGCAGATGCCTGACACGCTGGCGCAATCAGCGGCTGAAATCATGCTGTCCCATGTTTCGGCGTTGTCTCACTCGGCGTCTTCTCCCGATAGGAAGGAGATCCTCGGTAGGGATGGCAACCCATTCGGGAAGTCATGGTTTGAGGATGAGCCCGATGGAGCTACCTGGCCCGGACACCACATGGCTGGAGGTGTTGCCGTTCCCCTGAAGCCTAAGACAAAGATCGTATGGGGAAAGCGACCGCATGTTGATGACGAGGGCGAGATGGACCTGGAGGCGAGCTCATCGGGGCAACAGAGGACCGAGCCGGCCCCCGATAGTGGTGCCGGGTCAGCAAAGGACGACGACGAGACACTTCCTGTTATAAAACTTTCCATGGCGCATGGCGGAGGAGAAGAAGGACGACATGGATGTGGACCAGGATGTGTCCAAGAAAGGTCCCTCTGGAGCGGGCGAGCCCAAGCCTCAGGGATACTGAGGCTGGGCGGGCAGACCCAGGAGACGACCGGAGGCGCCTGCCCAAGAACACTCCAATCGACATGGAGAAGTCTCTGCCTGCCGAAGCGGCGCTCCTGATTCCCAGGGGTGTGGCAACGCAAGCGGAGGCCGAGAAGGCCGCGATGGAGGCTATCCGCGGGGACGCTAGGCTTCCTGACATTGGCCAGGAAGACAGGGAAACGGTTGATCCTCACACTGTGACGACTGAGGACTTGACGGCGTCGATAGACGCGTTGACGAGGAAGTTGAGCAACATGCCCGAGTGGTCGGGTAACTTGCTTCACCCTGCGAAGTCTGCTGAGCTGGTTGCGGCCAGATGGGGCGGGAAGGCAAGCTATGACAAGCCTGAAGCTCCTCTTACCGAGGCTGGGATGAAGAGTGCATCGCTGGAGGATCGAGCTTATGCCCTCACGCAACTCAATGAGATTTTAAACTTCCATAAGAAGCATTTGTGCTTCGGACGAGGGGCGCCATCTTTAAGTGCGACCGCTCCCATCGAGCCCTTTGCGCCCGGCCAGATTGACACAAGCAGGAAATTCTGCCCGAGTAAGCAAGCAAGATGACGTACAATCTCGTGGATAGGCAGGCGATCAGTCCGGAACTGCGATCTGCTGGACTTGTGCCTGATGAGGCTAGCACGTGTCAGAGTGTGGTCCCCACAAAGAGTAGGATGAACGAGTACGTTCCGAACTACGACCAGACCGTGGCCACGATCGCAGGGCGGGAGGCCGCCCAGGCATTGATGAAGCTGCTCACGTGTGATTTTGAAGGTTTGGTCACTCGAAAAGAGTCTCGGAGTTATTCGAGGAGAAAGTGCTGAAGGAGACTGGACGAGAGGCGTGAATGTTGATCAGGCCGTTTGGTTCCTGAGGGAAATCACGGGTATGGAGAACGCTGAGATGTTGTGGAAATTCTTCATTCCGGTGATCAAGGCTTTCCCGATAGGGCACGTTAGGACTCTGGACACCAGGGATTCCCGAGAATCGAGAAGGCGCAGATATCGACCGCGGCGTGACGAAGATCGAGACCGGAGGAGGGACGATGTTCGAGATCGTCGTGATGATGATTTGCTCGATCGAGAGCGAGATAGAAGGCGAGAAGATTGCAGGAGATCCGAGAGGGATCGTGACAGGGACCGTGCGCGTGGCGGACGTGACCGGAGGAGACGTGACGATAGTCGATAGGCTGAGTCACGGAGATTGCAAGCCGATAGGCTTGCATCCATTCTCCGATGGTCGGCGCGGTGCGGAGGTGATGATGTTCCTTCCGGACCGCTGAGGCGCGGAGATCATGTCTCTCCCGCACCGCTGCTCGGCTGCTGGTCGTGCTCATCATGAAGTAGTGTGAGTGAGAGGGGATGCAAGCTGGTGGAGGGTACTCCCAAGTTCGCGGAATTCAAATATTTTTCAGATACGCATGGTCAGGGGTACCTCTTGCCGATAGGCGAGGGTACTGATGAACATTCGTTACCCTTTATTTCATGGCTTCTGATAAGAATTGAACTACTTGCATTGTTGATGCAAACAGTTGTGGCCTAGTGCCGTCATGTGGACTTTTCCACAAGGTGTGTTGGACAGCGTTACCCCGATTAATTCGGGGTGGTGGCGGGAATTTAATGCCCGGGATGTCGCGCAACTGCCTTTGTGGGTTTGCTCCACCGCTGACGGCGGTAGTGTCCAGCTGTTTGCGGACGCGTGCGAGCAGTTAAATCCTATCAGTAAATGGCACTCTCCACCCGTCATATGACGGGCTCCTCGTGAGGGGGGTGTGATTAGCCATGATTCATTTCATCATCAGGGATGTCGCGGTAGTGGCTGACCTGTGATGTTTGGCTCAAGATTGTGGATCCGTTGCGCCTCGGATGAGCGTCGCCGGGCCCCCGCGTCGATCACCTTTGTGTCGGTGGAGAAAGAGACATCGGCCCGGGGCAGATTGGTGGGGATCGCCCGTGCGGCTCATCGTCGATCAAGGTTGCGGGTATTTACCTTCTTGTTTGGTTTTTCCCTTTTGGTTGTTGTTCTCTGGTGTGTGGGAAACCCTGATCTTTGGGACCGGGGATTGGTTTGCTTTTCTTTTGTGGCTTGTTTACCCCAACTTACCCATTGCCTGGGCACAGGCTCGTGCCCGAATCACACCTGATATTGACCGTGTGCCTCGTCTTGCGCCCGGACACGCAAAATTGGACCACGCTTTCTGGGAATGACATGCGGGAGACATCACTTGTTAGAGTGCTTTCAAAGCTGAGGCCTCCTCTCTGGTGCCAAGGAGGTATTTTTCAAATATGCCGCACGGCAGCAGATGGCCTTTGGCTGTCCAGCAAGCCTGGGGCAACGAACCACCCGGAGCAAGCCGGCTTGCTTTGCCAAGTCAAGCAGAGCGTGTCACGAATTTGGTGCCAGGCTCTCGTGTTTCCCCAAGGCCTTCTGCCGCTTCGTGTGGATGGAGATGGTGCAGAAGCTCTTGGCCGTTGGACTGGTCACCGCCGCACGGCAGAGCGTATAAAGACAAGATCTCGCAAAACCAAGAGAACCGGAAGACAGCGCGACGCGGTCCATTGAGAAGCGTTGGCGGTGTGCTCATGCTGTGCCATTGTGATTTCAATGGTTTGGCCTGAGCGCGAATATTTGAAGAGTGATATGATGGCCTTAGAGTTGGGTCATTCAGTGGTTGACCAAGGGATCCTTGCACGTGCGCTGACATGATCACTGGTGCGCCCGCCAGGTAATCTCCACAGAAGATGGTTTCCACCTTTCCCTGGCATATGTCCTTGGCATGGCGGCTACGATTGCTATGGTTCAGCCTTACATCCAGCCACAGGCTCGCAGGTTGCATGATGCGAATGTATGGGAAGCCAAGTTTGTATTGATTGTGAAGCAAGCTGGGAGACGACAGACCGCTTGACGCCCCTCCGCGCCAGATGAACGAGCTCCACTTCTTTTCCTTGCTGTGCTCCTCCGCTGGACGTGATCGCCGTCAGTTCTTGGGGGTCACATCAAAGTGTAGATCACTCGAATGGATTAAAACAACCATTCCCCCGATCGCAGCCGCGAGTGGACCTGTGTGCAACATCAAAGCACAAACCTGTTGCAAGCTGCTCTCCTCATCGATGTTGGCGGGTTGCTTCTTGAACAATGGACACTCCAGCATAAGGCCTCGCAGCGGCGGCTGTGGGATTTGCTGGAGCTGGCAACCCGAAAGCGCAGTTTCCGCATTGGCTTTGGCTGAGCCGGGTGTTTGTGCTGCTTCCTTTCCTGCTGGCCGCCCGGCAGGCGCGATCTGACTTCCCAGAAGCCATGGACGCAGCTGTTGCTCCAGATTTGCCTACGTCTCACAGGTCCAACGTGGATCTCTGGGAACCTCCACTAAAAGTTTCCCAAACACATTTTTGGGGCGCCCTGCGAGCCGAGCCACTCGTTTGTTGGCAGGCGCTGCGCCCGGACAGCTGCGAGGCTTTGGCCGTGCGCCTCTTTCAGGAGAGTTCAAGAGAGCCCGAGTTGGCCGGTTTTCGCTTATTTTGGGTGAGGGTGTTGAGGTGCCACTTGCTCCCAGCCTTTTGGCTCTGTGTTTTTTCCGGCGATTTTCTACAAACAGACGCCTTCACACACGACAGACGGCAAACAGAACAAGAAGGGGCGCCAAAGCATCGAACCCAGGAGGCGCGGCAACAGCTGGAGGTGCTGCAGAAGGGGCAGGAGGTGGAGCTGGTGGTCAAGACCGTCAGCTTCATTTGAGTGAAGCTGGTTGAGATGCCAGGAGTCCCCGGACAAAGCGGCAGGCCGAAGATGACCGAGAAGCGAAATTAACACCTGACGTACGGCACCGATGAAAGCCTATGTGCCCCCCAACAGCGCCAGATTGAACACGCGACTAAGCAACATGAACTTGTAGCCTTGGGGGCAACTCTTGATCGCATTCCATGTACCACGCCCTCGGCCATACTGGCTCTATTTGAAACCGCGTGGCACTGCTTGATCGCAGAGTGTGGATTTGAAGAGGAGTTTGCGGCGGCGAGCCAAATATTGAAAAAGAAAGGTATTCTGCGGTTCAGATGTTTGCGTTCTTTCAGACTTTGGCCAATCTTAGGAGACATCCAGAGGTCTAGTTGGCACTCAGGCTTTGGTCAGCATGGCCTGAGTTCACGCCGAAGAAAGCCCCCATGCCAATCAATCGCACACACACACACACCCATTCTTGAGCCGCGGCCATTGCCCTGCTGAAGCCCGAAACTGCTCACCGCAGCTGCAGGCCACAGCCTCAGAGCGGATGTGAAGTATGTGAAGTGAAGAAGCCTGCTCGGCGAGTCGATCCGGGTGTGCCTTTTTTGGAGGGAATCCGAAAGGAAGCCGCCTGTTTGGAGGGTCCCCCTTTGAGAGAAACCCATCTGATGGCCTTTTGGCAGTCTTTTCTGAGCTTGTCAAACAAACACTTGCTGGTTGTCAGGGAATGACGGACATGACCTCACACAACCGCCATTGCTTGTTATTTTACTTTGTCACAAGATTAATTCCCGGAAGCAAACTTGCCTGTGGAATCGTTGTAGTTGTTGATTTTCCTTTTTCCACGTAATTTGTGTATGCTGCATAATACAGCGATCGCACAAGACGCCGTAGGCACACTTATGTTGTGCATATTGAGAGAGAACTATTGGCATTGACCAATTTGGCCTTGACAACTAGCCTCGTGTTTCTGCAGGTTGCACTCACCGTACTGTCCTGTACGATAGACTGCAGGATGCAAAGACGCCTGGGTCGATGGGTTGTGTCAGGCCTGACTGGTTGTGTTCAGAGGTGGTGTTCAAAAAGGGGCTTCTGAACTATCGAACTAGGATGTAGGTCTGCCTCAAGGATCCCCAGTAGGATGGATTTGTACGGGTGGCAACGCCAACCGCCTGGCAGATGTCTGACTTTCGCCCTCAAAGTGCGGGTCTCCTCCCGCCCACTCTCAAGGACAATACTCTCGAACGTCAGGTTCCTTGGTTCCCTAAACAGCCGCTGTCCCTGTTGGGGCGTATGGGCGTTGTTCTGTGACGGCTTGCGTTCCCTTTCAACCGCATTGTGCAGCACGTTCAAGAAGTAGCGAGGCCATCCTCAGTGGCGCAGGCGCTGAGTGATCTCATGAAAGATCCTCAAATTCGTTCTGTGACGTTTGCGAAAAGAACCGGCAAGACTGGAGTTGCCCGGATGACCTAATTTTGCTTTACTGAGAGCTACGTCCTGGACGCGCGTCTAGTGGAAATTGATGGAAACGGGCGGGTGGAAAAGAGTGGACGTGAAAGGGGTGGAAGGGCGGCATGGAAGGGGGCTGAAACTCGCATACTTATTGGGGTATTATTCGGAATATCGAATTGTTTCAAGTATCAGAAATCAATGCCCCCAGGCCTGCACTTTTGGGTGATTGAAACTGTTTCCTTGGTGCACTCTGGCGGAATCATGGCGCCTGTCTTCTTCTCGCACAAGCTGACCCTTGATTGTGCTTGCCGACTTTGGTCAGACCACAGCGCAAGGACATTGTGAGTGACGTATTTCCTTCAGGGACTCCAGGGACCAGCTTCGAGCTTGTTTTACCTCCGATCGGTGAGCTGGAAGTTCGTGCAGAAGCAACCCAATGAAAAGAACCGAAATTACGGGCCCCTTTTGGTCGCATTGGATTCCGCAGATTGATCAAGATTTCAAGAGCCCAGTGACTCGTGGAAGGCGTGTGCAAATGCAAGTCTCAAACGTCGAATGACGAGGCTTGCTTGTCGTCTGAATATGTCAAGCTAGGGCTATGTGGCTCGTCCGGGAGCCAGTCTAGGTTTCAGTCTGCGAAGTCCATTCCGTATCGCAAATGCTGCGGCAGCCCGTTGCCTGGGCAGCTTTTCTCGTGGCGCTGACCGCGGCAGAACGGGTTCGTGAAGTTCGCCATTCAGTTTCTAGACTGCAGCATGGTTGCACCGACTGCTGATGTGCCGCACGTATCCGCACGTACAGCAACCTACTCCCTTTGTGCCGTGGCGTGCTGTAACAGACAAGATGACAACTGTTTGGCAGTTGGACCTGTTTTCAGTGGCCGCTTGATGGTCCTGTCTCCTTCGACGCATTCTTGTATGTCTGCGGTGTTGGTCCTCGAATCGTGCTGCGAGGTTCCTCCCAGGGAGCTGTGCAGGGAAGTCCTGCCGTTCCCCGACAGTTGCGACAAGCTGAAGACGGGCTGGTACAAGGTGAACGAAACAGGCCTCCAGCTGCAGGACTGCACCATTAGTGCTGGGACGGATGTGAAGGCAGGGCATTGCACTTGCGCTCTGCAATAAAAAGTAGTATTCGTGAGGAAATATGGATTTGAAAATGTTGTTCTTGCTCTGGTCGCGGAAGGCCGCGTAAGGGTTCGCGGAAGGGTTTTACCAATTGCCCAGTCGCGAAAGGTTTGCGTAGCCCCCCTTGGATGCCTTCTACGAAGTTGTTGTGTTTCCATTACCGGGAACAAGGGCTCAGACACAGCTTGTGGCATGGTCCCTTGTCAATGTGGCAAACATGATGCAGAACACCGGCAAAGTCCAATCTAAAAAGCTTTGCGGGTAACATGGCTGCGGCTCCCTCAACCTGCGAGATTCGCGTGTGCGGTGGTGCCTTGACGCGCCGCACCGTCGGTGGCATGGTCACGACTGTTCTATAAACTGAGGTAGCAGTGTTGATGTTTATGCAGCATGGCATGGCTTTTGTAATTTTAACGCCTCCGGCTCAGGCCGCCGACATTACAGGCCTGCTTTCTTATTGGCGTCCCTTTGGAATTGTCCCCTTGCCCCCCTTCCCCTCTGAGATCTTTGCCCCCCTTTCCCTGTGGAGATCCTTTCCCCCTTTCCCCCTAAGGCCTTTTCCCCTGAGATCTTCTCCCTTTTCCTCTAAGATGTTTTCCCCCCTTTCGCTGTTGAGATCCTTTACCCCCTTTCCCCCCTAAGGCCTTTTCCACCCTGAGATCTTCTCCCTTTTCCTCCCTAAGATCTTTTCCCACCTTTCCCTATTGAGATCCTTTCTCCCCTGTCCCCCCTAAGGCCTTTTCCCACCCTGAGTTCTTCTCCCTTTTCCTCGCTACGATCTTTTCCCCCCGTTTCCCTCCTAAGGCCTTTTCCCCACAAGATCTTCTCCCTTCTCCTCCCCACTTTCCCTGTTGAGATGCTTTCAAGGCCTTTTCAGGTCTTCTCCCTTTTCCTCCCTAAGATGTTTTCCACCCTTTCCCTGTTGAGATCCTTTCCCCCCTTCCCCCCTAAGGCCTTTTCCCCCCTGAGAACTTCTCCCTTTTCCTCCCTAAGATGTTGTCCACCCTTTCCCTGTTGAGATCCTTTCCCCCCTTCCCCCCCTAAGGCCTTTTCCCCCAAGATCTTCTCCTGTTTCTCCCTAAGATCTTTTCCCCCCCCCCAGATCTCCTCCCTTTCCTCCCTAAGATCTTTCCCCCCCTTTCCCTGTTGAGATCCTTTCCCCCCTTTCCCCCCTAAGGCCTTTCCCCCCCTCCCTTTTCCTCCCTAAGATCTTTTGCAACCTTTCCCTGTCGAGATCCTTTCCCCCCTTTCCCCCCTAAGGCATTTTGCCCCCCTAAGGCATTTTGCCCCCCTAAGGCATTTTTCCCCCAAGATCTTCTTCCTTTTCCTCCCTAAGATGTTTTCCCCCCTTTCCCTGTTGAGATCCTTTCCCCCCCTTTCCCCCCTAAGGCCTTTTCCCCCAAGATCTTCCTCGTTTCCTCCCCTGTCAAGATCCTTTCCCCCCTTTCCCCCCTAAGGCATTTTTCCACCCTAAGGCATTTTTTCCCCAAAGATCTTCTTCCTTTTCCTCCCTAAGATGTTTTCCCCCCTTTCCCTGTTGAGATCCTTTCCTCCCCTTTCCCCCCTAAGGCCTTTTCCCCCCAAGATCTTCCTCGTTTCCTCCCTAAGATCTTTTCCCCTCTTTCCCTGTTGAGATCCTTTCCCCCCGTTTCCCCCCTAAGGCCTTTTCCCCCCAAGATCTTCTCCCTTTTCCTTCCTAAGATCTTTTTCCACCTTTCCTGATCCTTTCCCACCCTTTCCCCCCTAAGGCCTTTTCCCCAAGATCTTTCCCTTCCTGCCTTTTGTTGCATATTGACATATTCACACACTCCGCTGACATGATGGCTCAAGGCCCTTCAAGTCATTTGTACAGTCATTTGACTCATGGTACATTGATAGAAAGGCTTGCAGACCGCTTTACAGGATTCACAGTCAACACAAGCCAACCAGGGACAATCCATCCTCCAATCCTCCATATTGGCATATTGGACTCTCTCCGGAATAGATCCAGGGACCAAATCAACAACCTCTACTACCACAGGGTACCAGTTCCCTTCTGGGATAGGCACCCCCGGCAGTGGGCCTCAGCTTGTGGTAGCGGAGCGGATTTTGCGCAGAGATCAAGGGAAGATGTCATCCGATGGAGAAGGCTTCATGGAAGCCTATTCAAGTATGGCCAAACCAACAGGCTATACGGATAAAACACTCAATTTATCGATGACCGCCACGCAGCCGCCGTCGTACGACGGAAAAGTCAGCTGGCTTAGGTATGAAGAACTCGTGGACGACTGGGTGACAATCACTACGGTGGAAGCACCCAAGAGAGGACCTCTGCTCAAGAGCAGACTCACAGGAGATGCCTATATGTACAAGGCAGTCCTCCAAAATGACCTTTTGCAAGATCCTGATGAAGGAGTCAACTAAATCGAGAATACGCTGAAGAAGTACTTTTTGAAAGGCGCGACCAACGTGTATCTGTACAGGCTCCTCAGTTTCTTCAATCATAGAAGGCAGAACCAAGAGTTCCTCATTTTTACCTCAAAATTCGAAATCCTTCTCATGAGATTGAAGGCAGCATGGATGGACTTGATGCCCGCTTTCACGGCACAGTCCCCATCATTTCGACAGTCCGTACAGGACGCAAATGCAAGAACAATTGCTCGACATCAGCAAGCAGCCGGTGTTCGAGCACCGCCTCCAACCCTGCTCAACGAGGATGATCCAACAGTCCTCAGACAGTATATCACGGGAATGCAGGACAGACAGCGGGACGCATTTCCTTTCGGGGATAATCTCATTGCGCAGTTTTTAATTACACAGAGTGAATTGTCAGATCAGCAGAGAGAAAGACTGACAAGTGCAATGTCATTGAGAAACATTTCACTAGAGAACTACTCCAATGAGATGCTGAAGACGCACTACCATGAACTCTTCATCACGACCAGGACATCCATTCAAGATCCATCCATCCGACCTCAAGGAGGCAACCGAAGCAACACGTTCTTCATCATCGAACAAGGTGAGTACGACGGAGAAGAAGGCTTTTGGGTTGAGGATGAAGAAGGACTTGAAGGATTCATGTCAAACAACGATGAAGAGACATTCTGGGTCCCTCGAGGAGAACGATGCGTTCATAGCAAGAAAAGTGTCAGGGCGGAATTTCAGATTCAAGAAGAGAAAAGGAAAAGGAAAACCAGGAAACAAACGGGGCAGTCACCAACGAGGTGGCTCTAAACCCTTCAGAAAATACGGTTCTGGCGGGAAGGCCAGGGTTATCCACCTTATGAGAATGGCAAAGGACAAGGCGGACATGACAAAGGAAAATCCAAGACGTTCGCAGCCATCGCAGAGAAGACGGAGGAGCAGCAGACTGCACCATCCACAGAGCCTACCTATGCCGGTTGGACAGACCAAGATTGGGATCAATCATGGACATGGAATGAACAAGGCTGGTACTCATCCCATGAGACATCCAGCACAGGACAAGCGGCATTCCATGACGCATAAAGAGGCCATCCACGGGTAGCTGATCCAATCAGATGCAGTTTCAGAACACAATTTGTCCGTCGCAGCAAATCTCAGCCTTTTTGCAACAAAGCTAATGGCGCCTGTCATCAACCCTCAGCACAATCCGACCTATGCGATCCTGGACAACGGATGTACCAGATCCATGGGCAGCTGGCATGCAATCCAGCGTTTTACTCAGGCCATCGAACCCATGAATAACATCATCTCCTATCAGCACAACCCGGCCAAGAGACCGCCAGGGTAAAATTGGACCCTGCATCCTTGATATCACACAACTCCTCCATGCAGTACCAACATCGGCGTCCTTGAACAAGGAACTGTACCGATCCTCCTCAGCCAGTCAGATGCGGAACCTCTACATGACCATCGAGCACACACACCTCAATGTGACAAGATCACATGCAAGGCTTTTGGCATAAACCGTCAAGCAGTTCCGGTATCCGGTACAGGACATGCGCTCGTCGATCTCGCTGGAGTTGCAAGAGTGAAGGCGCATGGAGAAATTGCTCAGCATCAAGTTTGGGGATATCTCCAAGAGTGAAACTGTTTGTGCAGCAAAATCATCCGAGACGAAGGAGGACCTAGCAACTCCTAAAATCATCGGGTCCCAGAAGCAGGACCATTGGATCCTTGACAAGAAGAACAAGCAGCTCATCCGTGTGCACATCACGCCTCGAAAGGCACTGTTCACACCAAATGGAGCCAAGGAATGTCCAATCAATCCTGATAACATTAGCCGAGAGCGTACTACGGAAATCATTGATGCATCCGAAGGTGGAGATCCAGACATCCTAGAAGACAATTGGAGACTTACATCCCAGGCAAACAAACCAATGATCAACCTGTGGATAGGTAAGACCATTTTCACCTTCGCGGACAATTCGCGTAAGGACGAAGAAGCAGGCCCAGGATCGGCAGCAGACAGGATCAGGTCGACCATTGAGCCAGATCCTTTCGCACCATCCTCAGAAGAACCAACAACGCTTCCGCTTGCACTAGGCAGAATCCACAAGCGATTGTCAAATCCCGAAGAGTTGAAGAAGCTCCACCTCCAGCATCATCACATGACAACAGATCAATTTCGATTTAGAACTCGCTCACTTCATTTGCCAAAATCAACATTCGATCTGTTTGACAAAATCAGAAGTGAATGTGAAGTTCGCCAAGCGGCAAAACATGCACCATCACGAAGCAAGACGAGTGGACTTCGAGCGGACACCTTTGGCGACATGACATTCATTGATCACTGTCAAGTTCCTCTTGGAACAGGAGAACACATCATTGTTTTTGTCATCATGGATGGAGCAACAACATTGCTCACTGCAGAGGCAGTGACAACTACGCAAGAAGTCGAGAACATCACTGTCCTCAGGAACGATTTTGACCAGTACCACTTGCAGCCCAAATCAGTTGTCGCAGATCAAGCCTTCATGACGGAGACATGGGAACATTTCTATCAA